TCATTTGGCAGCACGCTATCTTATAGCAGTGTATTTCACCCCCAGACGGATGGCCAGACGGAGAGGGTGAATCAGGTATTGGAGGACATGTTACGGGCATGTGTCATTGACTTCCAAGGTAGTTGGGAGGATCATATTCCACTAGTAGAGTTCGCTTATAACAATAGTTATCAAGCGACGATCGGTATGGCCCCGTATGAAGCATTGTATGGGAGACCTTGTAGATCACCGATATGTTGGGCCGAGCCGGAGGATAGCTTGATGCTTGGGCCCGAGCTAGTGAGGCAGACCACTGAGAAGGTAGCTTTGATCAGGGAGCGGATTTTAGCCGCTCAGAGTCGTCAGAAGAGCTATGCAGATAAGAGGCGAAGACCCCTAGAGTTTCAGGTTGGAGATTTGGTTATGCTTAAGGTATCACCTATGAAAGGAGTACAGCAATTCGGAAGGCGAGGGAAGCTTGCACCGAGATATATTGGGCCTTTTCAGATCCTAGAGCGCATTGGAGCTGTGTCATACAGACTAGATCTTCCAGCATCAATGTCTAGTATACACAACGTGTTCCATATTTCTATGCTTAAGAAGCACTTGCATGATGAGGAGCAGCAGCAAGTATTGGATGCACCGGAGATCGAGCTTCAGGATGATTTGACTACTATTGAGATTCCGGTTCGTATTCTTGCCAGGGAGGACAAGAGGCTTAGAAACAAGGTAATTCCCTTGGTGAAAGTTCAGTGGAACCGAGGAGGCATTGAGGAGATTTCTTGGGAGCGCGAAGAGGACATGCGTCGTGACTACCCACACTTGGTTGAGCAGGTAAATAAATTCTCATTATGATTACATATCCTAACTTATGTGCATATCTTTGGTTATGTTTCCATTTAACGCTATAATGAGAATACTTTCGCTTAATTTTTAATCTTTTGGAACACATGGTATATGTATGGGGGGTTCCTTGTTTGGATTTTTCGCTCGATGTACTAGTTCCACTAGATTAGGATTTGAGCGAGAATATTATCATTTTAAATCGTTAAGTGTAAATATTTCTATAAGGTTATCTAAGAGTTCATATTTCAAGTTCGCATGATTTCCGAATTTCGAGGACGAAATTCTTTTAAGGGGGGAAGAATGTAAAACCCCGAAAAATTTCTACAATAAATATATGTGAATTATTAATAGTAAATATTTTCCTTGTGATGAATAATCATATATATACACATATATATGTCATATGAATGTAATTATCTGTGTTTGAGAACCCAACAAGTGATTTTAAGTGAGAGAAATCGAGTGTTATGGCCAGCGTATAAAATGTCCAGCAGCAGGCATTTTTGTGCTGCGCGGTCGACCGACGCGGTCGACCGCACAGCGGTCGACCGCACAGCGGTCAGAGAGCTTCCAGGTTTTGTTTTCTTTGCGGTTTTGTTTCGGGTCTTTTGGGTTTCGGGTCAGGTTAGGGAGTTAGTATTTATACTAACTCAACCCAGGAGAGCCTCTCTTCACCTCAGGCTCAAAACCCTAGCCCCCATCCCTCAAATCTCAAACCCTAGCTAGATTTGGTGCTTAGGAGGAGATCTGGAGGATTTTTCAGTAGGATTTTGGATTGGCAGCGTAGAGAATCAACCTCCTGCAGATCTAGGGCTTTCGTCAACACCCAAGGCGAGTATCATCTCGCCTAATCCCTCACCCCTGTTTTATATGGTTTTCTTTTGGATTTTCATGAGTTTTGATGAGCCAAAAACGTACTTTTGTATAAAGATGGATTCTTTATAATATGGTTTCCAAGTCTCAAACGTTTCAGTTTATAAAATCTCACAAATGTTCCGTTTATTTAAGATCTAGATCTGAAAATTTCCTAAACGAGAGTTATATCATTTTTACAGTCATTAAGAACGTTTTGGGTTTGTTCTTATGGATTTAAAACAATGAAAAGGTAGTTTTCAGACTTTGGATTCGTTGTTTATCTTCAGCATTTTTCTTTTGAATCGTTAAAACCCTTGTTAGCATAGAATAACAAATTTTTGTTCCAGGTTTTGAGCTGACAGAAACCCAGATTTGGGTTTCTGTCCGCTTGGCGGTCGACCGGAGCGGTCGACCGCTGAGCTCGTTTTAAGGCTTCGGTCGACCGTGAATTATTTCGGTCGACCGCGATGTTCTTTCGGTCGACCGCAAATTATTTTGATCAACCGCGACGTTCTTCCGGTCGACCGCCAGTCGCATATCAGAGTGCGGTCGACCGCCGCACTGTCTGTTGTGATTTCCTGTTCTGGATATTTTTGGGTGTTTTACTCATGTTCGAGGGTTTGCCTGGACTATCTGACTTTGGTATTTAGTCTCACTATGTATCCACGCAGGATAGATGACCTGAGGGTATAATTTGGGGACTTATACACTGATTTAGTGTGGATTGATATAAGTAGACTTCACTATATATATCATAGCGATATTTTTACTATTTCACAGTCCTCGTGTTGGACTATAATCCATAGAAGTCCTCGTGTTGGACGTCCTCGTGTTGGACATTTGCCACTTTCTCTATGAGTGGGATACTACCATATATATATAGTTCCTGTTTTCGGACATAGTTCTTAACCCTGCATATGACCTTCTCGCAGAAGTTCACGACATGATTTTGACATGACACTTATGCAAATTTTAACATGATATTCATGTAGGCTATGATGTGGCACTGCGCTTGTGTTCTGAGATTAGTGGTATTTCTTTTATTATTGTTACTGCACTAGAACCTTTGGTTTGGTATTTAGGAGTTTACAAATTTGAGATATAAGGTATATACATGAGGGTTTCCTTGTTTGGATTATTTCGCTCGACGTACCTATTCTCGTGATGTAAAATTTCTAAATACTAAAACCCTCTTTTGTAAGACCAATGATTTTAGATCTATTATATATTATCTGTACTTTCATATACAACGAGCCCTTTTCCCTTGGGGTTGGTTGTGATGTTACTCTCTAGCGCTTTGACGCTCGTTATCCCTCCCCCTTTCAGGTCACGAGCTAGGAGCACGGAGAGTCGCAGGTTGATAGCGGACCACTTTAGTGTTCAGCTTTACTTTCTAGCTATGTATTATTTTCTTTAGGCTCCACTGTAGCGTGGTTAGACATTTGAGGGTATTATTCTAGAATTTGTAAAGGCGGAGTGCCTTATTTATTCTTGTCAGATATTTGTATTTGAGACTTGTGACTACTCCAGTTTATTTATTCAGACATTGACTATGTATTTCCATTTGTTGGATGATGAGATATTTATTTGATCACTATCATTTCATCAGCCCTTCGTGTATCATCTTTTACTTGCTTTTGTACCTACACCTGTTATTGATTCTACTAGATAGATGTTAATTGTAATGGTGAAACATGTTATTGCACGGTGTGGTGCATGGCAGGTTTGACATTCTTGGTTTCACCTTGGACTGCAGTCTTGTGTGAACCCAGGGGCGTCACAATCCTATGGCTAGCTGTGCTTGATAGACTGCTCACAAGAGACCGACTGATGAAGAGAGGTATCATTCAAGATGGACATTGCTGTTTATGCAACGAGTCTGTTATTGAATCCAGGAATCATTTGTTTTTTGAATGCAATTATTCAAATACTATCTGGAATAAAATCATGGACTGGTTATGTTTTAAATGGAGGGCTAGTAGCTGGTACTTGGTGATGCACCGGTTCAGCTATAGGTTAAGAGGGAAAGGTTTCAAGCAGAACATGAAGAGATTAGCTTTTTCGGCCACAATATATTGCTTATGGAGGGAGAGAAACAACAGAATTTTCAAGCATGAGATCAGGAGTGCTGATCAGATAGCAAGGGAGATCAAAGTTGATACATTAACAATCGCATTCAATAGCCCCATTTCAGCGGAGCACAAAGCATGGCTTTTAACACTGTAAAAGCTATTATACTTGTAAAATAGCTGAGCATTTTCTCTTTCTTTTGTGAGTAGTTTGTTTACTTGTGTTTTTCTTTTCAGCTTTGTATATGCTGAATGATTGAGGTATACACAAACTTTCAAATTTGGGAAATGAAATAAATTCTTCATTGACCAAAAAAAAGCTGATCATGCTTTACATCACTTGTTCAATAGCATTCAATGGCAGATGTTTACAGCATAGGTTACATAGCACAAGAGAAAATAAGAAAATGAGAATAGGATCATTAAGATCCTTACAGATATATTTACAAGAAAAATATTAAGCTATAAATTCCATCACAAATTTCTCTTAAACACAAAAACCACAAATATGAAACTTGGTTCAATAAAGTTATCCAAGAGGAAAGCAGGTCCTTCAAATACTAGGAAACATGGCCAAGTACTCCATTTTTATCTTCCGTAATTTTGGAACAACTCCTTTCATTGTAGGTCTTTCTTTAGGCGATTCATTTGAACACATTATCCCTGATTCTATTATAGAAGATAGATAAACATGAAGTGGAATGAGATCTTCCCTTGCATTTTCATTCCCATACCAATCTTGTAACAGATTGCAGTCCACAATGTGCATTACGGAAGACGAATGTGCCTCACATACCCATCGCCGTAGGCTTGATTCCTCAAAAAACATAGGATCAGTAGGCTTCTTCCGCGTAAACATTTCTAGCAATAATATTCCAAAGCTATAAACATCCCCTTTTCCAGAGACCCTTCCCGTTGATGCATATTCTAAAAAAAGACCAAGAGAATGTCTTAAGAAATACTAATACTATTGTTTGTTCAAGTTAAGCTTATAAATTTAAAGCATAAATTTCAGAGAACTTGCTGAACTTTCAAAACTATACTAAAACCCTTGAACCAGTGGAAATTATCATTGATGGTGTTGATAGGCAGATCAGCAAAAAGTCTAAACTGATCTTTTTTACTTTTTACCTACCTCTACCAAAAAAGGTAATTAATATAGAGGTATATTTCGCAGACTGAGGTAAAGTTAATTCAAAAAGTTGACACATGATGGTTAAAGTAACTGTCATGAACGCATATTTGAGACAATCAGTTCAGGGGTTTTATATAATTTATAAAGGGAGCCATGTAGCCAATTGTCCCCGGTGTGCTTGTTGAAGTGACCATCCAGCTTTCACCGAACAAAAGTTTTGCAATGCCAAAGTCACTCACAAGTGCAGTCATGTCTTCATTCAGCAACACATTGCTGGGCTTCAGATCACAGTGCACCACAACCTGACCACTATTATGATGAAGATATTCAAGTGCTGATGCCACATCAATCGCTATATTAATCCTTTGCAGTAGGTTCAAATAATAGTCCGATGAGTGCAACCACTTTTCAAGGCTTCCATTAGACATGAAAGGAAGCACGAGTGCCCTAAAGTCCGAATTGGAAATAACGGTGATGATTTTAACTAGATTTCGATGACGAAGGATCCTCAAAGCACTGCATTCTGCATCGAAACTCCTCAAAGCTCCCTCAGCTTCCAAATTAAAAACCTTTATAGCAACAAGCAGTCCGTCATCGAGACATCCTCTATAGACAGACCCAAAGCTTCCCCTTCCCAATAAGTTTGTCTCATTAAAATTTTCCGTAGCGCGAACAAGTTCATGGAATGGAACCAATCTGTAGTTATTACGAGATAGTTTGCTTCCAGTGTCTGGATTCTTGGCTTTCTTTGGATAAAATTTCAAGAAAAGGCAAACGCAAGCAACAAGGATTGCAATGAGAGCAATAGCAGGTAGGAGATACTTGAGCAACTGCACTCCTAAGCTCGAATTAGAAACATGTTCTTTAGGGCAGGGTGGAAAACCTTGCTTGATTGCTCCACATAGTGCTGCATTGCCTACCAAACTTGTAACTGTGTGATTCAAAAACGCACCCCCATTTGGAACTTGTCCTTCCAATTTGTTGAAAGATAGATTCATGCTGCTGACATGCCGGAGATTGGCTAAGGAATCGGGTATAACACCTGAGAGATTATTGCATGAAAGATTCAAAACTGCCACATTAATAAGATCGCCAAATGATTCAGGAATTTGCCCATCAAATGAGTTGTTTGAAAGATCCAAAATACTTAGCATTTGGAGCTCTTTGAAAACACTTGGAATGTTTCCTGATAGTTGATTAATTGATATATTTAGTGAGGCTAGGGCTACCATGTTCCTCACTGCTGAAGACAGGGATCCATTGACAAAGTTTTGTGATAGATCCAATTCAATTAGGCGATTTAAATTCCATATACTTCGAGGAATTTCTGAAGATAGTTCATTGGTATGCAGCGACAAGTGTTCTAGTGCACTTAGATTTCCCAGTGAGTCAGGTATGGATCCAAAGAGAGAATTTCCACCGAGAAACAGTTTAATTAAACTTCTTAATCGGCCAATTTCATGTGGGACGGAGCCGTATAATTTGTTCTCACCCAAGCTTAGCCATTGAAGGCTTTCTAGAATTGTGATCTCTGATGGTATTGTTCCAGTTATCTTGTTATCACCAAAATCAAGAACTGTCAAGCTAGACAAATTACCGATTCCAACTGGAATTTTACCCTTGATATGGTTTGAGCTAGCAGCGAGAGTTTGAAGATTTGTGGAGAGATTACCTATGGAATTTGGGAGAGGACCATCCAGATGATTTTTCCACAATCCAACAAACTCTAAGAACTCACAATTCGAAAGCGATTTGAGGAAATTTAACCCTCCACTTAACTCATTCCATCCTAGATACAACTTCCGAAGTCGAGGCATGTTTCCAAAGTTCACACGTAATGATCCAGTAAGTTTGCACTCGGACAAATTTATAACTTGGAGCGATGACATGTTCGAGAATGAAACCGGTATAGGACCTGTTAGGGTATCGCTAGGACCTAGATATAAAATTTGCAGGTTCACAAGATCACCCAACTCCTCAGGAATTCGCCCGTCGATGTTGTTTGCTCCGATCTCTAACTCAGTCAAACTCGTAAGGTTTCCCAAAGTTCTCGGTATACCACCTGAGATATCATTATCCCAAATGTCCAGAATAGTAAGCTTCTTCAATTTTCCAAGCTCCGCTGGTATGTTTCCACTAAAAGCGCTGTGTGATAAAGAGAGCCTTTGAAGGTGAGAGCAATTAGAAAGTGAAGACGGTATGTTTCCACTGAGCTCGTTAATTTGCAAGCTGAGGTTTTGAATACGAGGAAGCATCTGAAAGAAGCCATTATCCGGAGGGAGGGCCCCTGAAAGGTTGTTTCTCTCGAGGAAAAGTTCAGTCAGCAAAGACATGTTGAAGATAGGAGGCGGTATTGAACCAGAAAGTTGATTCCTATTGAGGGTAAGTGATTTAAGACGAGGCAAATGTGCAACAGTCTCAGGTATTTCGCCAGCGAGGCTGTTGTTGGTAAGGTTAAGATAGGACAGGAAGGAGAGGTTTGCGATGTGAGGGGAGATCGTGCCGTGGAGGGGTAAGTCTGCAAGGTGAAGGGAAACAACTCTTGGCCTTCGACGGCTGCATGAGACGCCCATCCAATTGCAGAAGGGGGTGTTAGTGGTCCAGTTGCCAGAGAGAATGTTGTAAGGATCTCCGACCTGGGACTTAAAGGCCAGCAACGCTGAGAGATCAGTGAGGTTATTATGCTCTAACGATGAGGTTGAGGGAAAGAAGAAGAGGACTAACTGAATGGTTGAGAAGAGGAAGGGAGAAAACTCCATTAAAAGCTGGGGGGGGAGTACCTTCAGAGGAATACAAGTTCTTAGCATATATACATTTTAGAAGAACACTGGATTATATATGGGACTTACCAAAAGAGTTGAGAACTGGTGTGTGGTCCCTAGAAAGCTACTTCTGCGTTTGGCCAGGACGAGGACAGGGCAGAAAAATTATCTAGTTGAAGACCATTCGCTTGGCCTTTTCTCTTCGAGGCATTTTGTTGAAGGTTTCTTCATAATGACTTTTCTTCTCTCTCTCTCTCTCTCTCTCTCTCTCTCTCTCTCTCTCTCTCTCTCTTTTTCCAATCCTCTATGAAAGTGACTGAAATTGGTGTTGTCTTGAATTATCTTCCATAACGATTTCTCAATAAAAGTTTGCCATGTTCTTCCAAGGTTTCTTGATTATGACTTATATTTATTAAGTAAATTAAAGATAAAATACGCTGTCAGTTGTCCATGGTACGTCTCTTGATAATGTTGCATGTTCATTGACCAACCCTTTTTTCATTCTTCTTTCAAATGAGAAAAGATGGAATTTTGTCTTTTAAGTCAAGGTATCTTGATCATCTTGGAATCTAGGAAAAGAAAATATCTTATTTCCATGATAGACCTACCGTCATATATGAGAATACAATAAGTAGTCTATGTATTTAATCAACGTGGTACTTCGTACATCACATAACGTAACACTTCAAACACCACGCATGTCTAGCTTGTCAAAAATAAATTGTATCCAAACTTTATCAACAAGTGTAAAGCATAATTTTACCAACTATATGTGTATCGTTTCTACCTGGGGATCATCATACACTGTACCAGCAACCTTTAGGTTACACATAGTTATTACCTAACTTGTAGATTGCACAGCGTAAGAGAAAGTATACAATTTGATAATTGGGAAAATATTATTTATGTTGTATTGATATTAGAATATAATGCAAATATATAGGCATTGCATGGGCGCCTGAGTGGGCCAATATTGGGCCTGTATACACATATGTATATACACTATCTTAACAACCCTCTCAAACTTAAGGCGTATTAAACACCAAAACTTTGGACAAAAAATTAGAGCTGAGCAGTAGTTTGTGCATTAGTGAACATGTCTCCAACTTGATGTTTTGATGCTATGTAAATAAAAGAGATACTGTAAGCACTATAATCCTATCAGACAATGCGAAAGTCCACCTCAATGTGTTTGGTGTGCCCATGAAATACCAAATTACAAGCAATTTGGATAGTAGTCTTGTTGTCACAATACAAAGGGACAGGAGAAGACATAGAGACAATGAGATCCTGAAGAAGATGGCATAGGTAATGAATCTCAAGAGCAGTGTTAGATATAGCATGATATTCTACCTTAGTACTAGATCATGAAATCGTGTTGTAAAACCCAGAAATTTTTGAAAATACTATGGTAAATAGTAATAAATGAGTTATATTATGATAAATATCATTTATTAATGAATGAGTATGTTAGTAATTGATTTGAGATCAATTATATATATGAGAGTATACAAGTGTTAAACATGCACAAAACAAGTGAAAACATGCATGCAAGCAAAAACTTGTAGGCTGGAAAATGCCTCGGGTCGGTCAACTGATGCTTGCCAATCAGTCGACCGATAGGAGCTTATCAGTCGACTGATTACAAGCCATCAGTCGACCGATGGGAGGTTTTCCCAGTCTGTTTTGATTTCGGGTTTGTTTGTTTTGTTTTGGGTTTGCCTATAAATATATGGATATATTTCACGAAAATCTCTCTTCTACATCATATTTCTGAACCCTAGCAGACACCCTCTCCCCTTAAAAAACCTATATCATATTTTGGTGATTTTGAAGAGCTTTGTGAAGCAAGTACCGAGAAGAGTGTGAGATCGTCGGCGTTTGTCAAAAGAGATCGTGTTTTCTTGCACTTTTGGGGATTCCAGCGAGTTTTGAGGCGAGTTTCATCTCCTCTAATCTCATCCCTTGTGTTTAATTGGTTTTATTTGGTTTCATTAGATTTTAAAAACCTATTTTATGATAAAAGATCAAACCTTTAAAGTGTATGGTTTAAAAATTCGATCTTTGTGATTTAAAAAGTTGTAAATTGGATTCTCTAATGTGGGTTTTAGATCTGAATTTGATTTAACCTGAGTTTTTTTGAAAGATAATTGTTTTCACGATGATTTATACAAATTTGATCACACCAAGATTACTAGATTTCCTTAAAACCTTATAATTGTGTTTCATGGTGTTAAGTGATTACTAGATTTCCTTAAAACCTTGTAATTGCGTTTCATGGTGTTAAGTGAACCCTAATAATATTAAATAACATTTTATATATGTGTTTTATTTGAATAATATAAATTTTTATGAGATAGAAGCAAATCCACATGTCACCCAAAATAATTTATAGGAAAATAGAGGACTTACCTCGGGTCGGTCGACCAAAGCACAAGCATCGGTCGACCGATCAAGGTTGAGTTGCCTTGTACATTATTTGTGTATATCGTCGGTCGACCGATGAAGATACATCAGTCGACCGGTCTGTGTTACCTTGCAAATTAGTGAACTTGATCCTTTTATTATGTGAGATGATGGTGAACACGAAGTTCGGGTCCGCGCATCGAGACACATACTTGAACACTGGAGTACACATTTTGGGGTTGCATTCGTACGAGCTGTTGAGGTGCGTAACATATATTTTTGTGGTCGTTGTCATAATAGATAGTGACACATATATTGCATTTCATAATTGTGGATGCCTGAGTGGGTTAGTTGGCACTCCGCAATGAGATCGCGGGGGATTACACTCAGGGTGGTTAGTTGGTATGCTGCAATGAGACCGTAGCAGACTACACTCCGTTTTGCATCATTGTTTTCTAGAATAGCATGATATGCCTATTTTTGTAGAGCGATTGAGTATGGTGGTGATACCAAAGGATATTGTAAGCATCTTACAAAAGCATCGCATTGTTACAGTTAGAGGATTGCGCAGATTTCATTTATGCTCCCATGTTAGATACCCGAGAGTAGGGTATAATACTGAGGTTATCATACATGACATATTCGATGCGAGTTCCTTTTATCGGATGTTACTTCTGTTAGACCCTAGAGGGGGGTGATTAGGGTCTTATGCTAATCTAATCCGATTTTTTTACCAATTAAAACTTATTGATAAATTATTCTTACAAGATAGATATACAATATGTTATGAGCAAGAATATACAATATGAACAAAGAGATATATCCTAGCAAAGAGGTATATGATGAAATATATGCAAGGATATATAAATTAACATAAGGATAAATAATTTAAACTAAAGATACAATTGTGATAGGGTAATATGAAGTGCAATACACAAAGGCAATATAAGATATGAATATAAGAATAAGAACGCCAATGCAATCACAAACAAAACGATATGATTACGGAGTTCGGTATAACCACTTGACCTACGTCTCCGATCCTCACCTCGAGGAGATCTCCACTATCACAACCGTGTTTTCTATGTTTACCCGAACAACGTTTACACAGCACAATACGGTTTTCTAGTTTACCGAAAACTCTACAACTAACACACTCTTGTAATCCCACTCTACATCCTCTCAAGTGTTGAACTAGACGTGTCTCCCTCAAGTGCTCGGATACAACCTCTCCCTAGGTTCGTCAACTGACGCCACTCCTCTTGGGACGATCCCCGACTCTCGCCACACACTTCTCTCGGTGTACAAGTGTATTACAAAGTGAATCTCACAATAAGCACAATTACAATAAATGATTATTCTCTAATATGGATGAGAACATAATGAAAGCTCACACTCAATTGTTACAACTCTCACCAACCCAAATATACAATGTATGCAAATACAATAAGCTCAAGTGGGTGTGTGTAAACAATGAGTGAAATCAAATCAACTAAACTCAATATAAAACTAGGTTTAATAAAATGATAATCAAATAAATAGATGTAAAGCTAGAAATAGAGTTTAGAAAACTTCTCAATAGATTAAGAGGTAGAGGGGGAATAGTTGGATGCCCAAACACCAATAGATGATCTCCTTAAGCTCTAGTGAAATTGATTTTATAAACTCAAACTTCCAAATGCTTAAAAGCTTCTTAAACAAACTTAAACCAAACTTAAACCCTTGTTTAAAACTCTTTAAACTTATTTTAAAAACACTCTCTTATTATTTTATGAAGGATGAGAGCAAGGGGGTATTTATAGCCTCCCAAAAACTCAGCCAAAAAACCCAATCAAAATGACCAAAAAGCCCACAAAAACAGCTGCAGAAAAATAGCCGTTGGTAGTGAAAAGACAGTGCGGCGGTCGACCGTGGAAATCTCACGGTCGACCACGAGCAACAAAAAGGCAGAACTGGGCTCTGGAAAAACTGACGGTCGACCATGGCGGTCGACCGCGAAAGTCTCTATATTGCATACGGTCGACCGTCACGGTCGATCGTGAGCCACAAAAGATCTTATTGAGTTTCTGAACTCAAGACGGTTGACCGTGATGGTCAACCGCAAACTAACACACAGCTAAAATACAGATTTCTGAATTTAAAACCTTATTTAAAAATATCAAACAAATTCAGAAAAATATAAAACTTTGGAAAATGATTGTATACATGATAATACACATGCTACAAAATTTGGTTTTTAAAAAATACCTCCCAAATGAAAAATGTCATTATTTTGCAAAATAGTCCAAAACATAAAAATGTGAACATATGAGTTTTGACATTTTAGCTTAACCATGTTTTAAAATAATACAAAATTATTTTATAGACTTGAAGAAAGATGTAAACTATTGTTATGAAGTCTATAAACAATGAATATAGTATTTTCTTTATAGACTTGAAGAAAGATGTAAACTATTGTTATGAAGTCTATAAACAATGAATATAGTATTTTCACTAATAAAAATATAATGCACTAAAACATGATTTCATTGAACTGAATAAAATTGATATTGATGAAATCATATATATGCATATAAGTATGAAACAAAAAT